GGCTGTGGACATTTGGGCGTTCTGCAGTGCATTATTACCTTATCGGCAGTCTTACGACAGGTATTACATGTGTGATTAAGCGTGCGTAGCTTTCGTGACTGCAGGCGCGTGGGGACACTCTCTCACGGGTTATTCGTGACCATGTCCCGACCTGGGCCGTGATTTCTCGCGCGGTGCTCGACTCGCCCAGGCTAATGGTGTGGGCCGCTGACCGCTGTCGATACCTGGGGCTGTAACTGACCAATAAACGGGCGATAAACTCAGCCATAATGCAACTCTCAGAGTTATTGGTTGTGACTGTGTCATGGCCCTAAACAGGGACGTATCCAAGGGGGGGCGACGGGGGCGGTCGCCCCCCCCCCTGGGCCCTGCCGGGCCCCAAAAGCGGGCCCGGCAGGGCCCGCTAGGCAGCAAGAAAGCGGGCCCGAAGGGCCCGCTTTGGGGCCTAGTCAGGAACAATTTGGGGTCGGCTGGGCCAAAAAGCGGAAGGGCATGTTCAGAAGGATTTGTTCGAATTTTTTGGTTCGCGGATGGGCCCCTGGGGCCCTGCCGGGCCACAAACAGGTCCGTAACTGGGCCCTTCGGCCCACTTTTGGGCAGAGCGAGGGCAATTTGGAGCCCGGCAGGGCCCCAAAAGCGGAAATACCCGTTCAGAAGGATATGCTCGAGCCTTCGAGCTTGAGGAAGGGCCCCTATGGCCCTGCCGGACTCCAAACGGGTCCCTTATCGGGCCCAAAGGTATCGCTTTTGAGCTAATTGGCCCCGGAGAAGTTATGGTTAGCGGATCCGAAAAAATCCTCTTCCGTGCCCAGTCACAGGGCCTGTCTGTGCCCTAGATGTGGAAGGGCCCGCTGAGAAGATCTTGCCCAGGCTTTCGGGTCCAAAAAGGGCCCATAGGGTCTTGCCGGTGCTCATATGGGTCCCTAGCCGGGCCCCACAAGCAGACCGGGCCAAGCCAATGACAACCGGGGGCCCGGGAGGTCTACAAAAGCGGAAGGGCCCGCTCAGAAAGCCTTGAAGCAGGCTTTTGAGCTTAACCCGGCCGGGCCCGGGGGGTAATCCCAACCACCGCAGCCCGGGGGGGGGGGCGTTTTTCGCCCCCCCTGTCTAACTCCGTAAATAAAGGAGCTACGGAAACAAAAGCGATACCAAACGAAAGGTCCTTACGAGACGATTCTAAAGCACCTAAAATTTTTGACCTCAGGTCAATTTTCAAGGTCAGAGGTCAAGGTCAAAGGCAAAAACCGGCACATGTGTAGTGATCTCAAAGTAAGCCTTCTAGAGGACGGCAAGTGGCATCAAACCGGCAAAAATTGGGTGTCAAACGAAAGAAGGGAATCTGAGGATTCCGAAAATGTGCTAAAAATCAAAGGTCAAGGTCAAGGTCACGCTCAAAATTGACCTCAAACTTGGCACTTTTTCGCACATCTTGCGTGCTAACTTTCAAAATGTTTTGAAATGTTTTGAGGCTTATCAGTTCCCTATTTGTGGTTCCTCTTACGATACAAGGCTGCTCAAAGGTCAAGGTCACTGAAGAGTATCCCTGCTAGAGGCTATTTCACTAATTCAAGTTAGTAATAATAAATAAGACAATTTTGCCATCCGGAAGCTCTAAATGAAGGCTTAGAGGAAAATAGATGCCAGATTCGTGATCAGCGGGTACAAATCCATAATAAACGACCTTTCATGTGTCAAGGTCAACTAGAGGTCATTCGAGGTCACATGAGGTCAACATAAAACTTGACCTTTTCCGAACAAAATATATATCATTCGACGCGGCTTGACGAGGCGAATGCGATGGTACCACTGCCGTAGCTCTAGGACCATTTTTGTCGAAGTTATTTGCGAAAAACTAAAACCACATTTCGGGGTCGTTGACCTGACCTCTGACCTCAGGTCACCAAAACTATTTTTCTATTTTTCTCTAGGTCAAACGCTACACAACCGTGCTCGTAATTTTGTCTTTATCTCTAAAACTATATTTTTAGCAGCTCTTTGAAGTTTGCGTCTGTGACGCCGAAGTTTGCCGTGCAGGGGTCTAGGAAAATGGACCTTGTGACGTCATCAAGGGGGCTAGGTCCAAATGTTTTACTTCAGAAGATGTCAAATTGATGGGAGAAAAGGTACTGAAAGTTTCGCTTTCCTATCCCTAAGCGTTCGGGAGCTATCGCAAATATTCGCTAGGGGGGGGGGGGAAAACGTCCCCCCCGGGCCCGCGAGGGTTAAGTATTGGTCCCTCGGCCTCGACAACGTATCAAGAAAGCGAGCCCAGATATACACTTCCGTGCCCAGTCTCAGAAACAGCTTGTCCTGGCCGGGCCCCAGAAACGGAAGGGCCCGCTGAGAAGGCCCTGCCCAGGCCATGGGGCCCGAGGAACAGGCAACAGCCGATGATGGGACCCTTTCGACTTACCTCATGGGGCTGCTCCTGTTTACAGTTCTCCGAACAAAATGAGCTCCATAGTTGCGCCACGGATGGCGTTTGGGACAGGCGGTGGGGGAGGCGTTTGAACACCCTCTCTCTCTAACTCGGCTCCTGGGCCACGTAGCGACACGTAAGCGTACGTGGCATTCGGAAGAGCGTAAAAAAATCATGCCGAAAGTAACCATTTTCTAGGTCAGGTCAAAGGTCAGGTCACCATAAGTCAGCAAAGGTCACATTTTGCCTATTTCAACATTGTTTGACAACTCCGGCGCATAACCCGGGTACAAACAGAGCTGCAGCGCCACAAAAAAACGCATTCAATAGTTCTTTCAACGTTCTTTCCTTAAACTGTTCTCAGAATTGACCTGCGATTAACCCGCGCACCGACGGGGGTCCGCGCCAACTTAGAACCGACGGGGGGGGGGGGGGGGGCGGATGACCGCCCGCCCCCTGAGATCTCAAGAACGAAGCAAGATAGCGACAAGCGGTAAACGGCATGGGGTACGCACGGACAAGGTCTACAATTTTTAATTAGGTCATTTCCAGATCAGGTCAAAGATGACGTCACAGGGGTAAAAAAAGTCAAAATGGCGGCGCTAGATATGAAGAGTTTTTCTCGAATAACTTTCGAATTAGCCAAGCTAGGAACAAACTAAGGGCATCATCGTAATCCTCTCGTCAATCCGCATCGAATCATACTCCGTTATCTACTGTAGCTCTGACACGACGTGACAAAGTTGCAAAAAAGTGATTTGAGGTTGGGTCATTCGAAGTAACCTGGTGATCTGACCTTAAAAGTTAGGAGATTCAAACTTGCACACCATGTGTAAAATTAATGAGAAAATAGTCATGCCAAATTTCGCGGCGCTACGCGCCGCGGTTTTCCCGCATAACCTCAAGGGGGGGGGGGGCGGATAACAGCCCCCCCGTCGGTGCTCGGGTTAACGGTTTAGCCTCTTGAGAGAAAAAACTTTTAAAATAGTCGTTTTTATGAAACATTTTTTTTCTTTAACAATTTTCGACTCAGGAAAAGGCACGACATTTCTTTTGCCAGCATCGTGTTACTCTCGTCGAGACGCGTCGAATCAACTACATATAATTTGACCTTATTAGGTCATTTAGAAAATTTGAACTAAATTCAAGGTGACCTGACCTGAAAGGTCATGTTGCACATCCGTCAAACCGTATCGTCGATAAGGCCTGAACACATCTAAGGTGTTTTCAACGCTCTAGCGTGTCTCTAACAAATGCTATTGTCAAAAGCTGTGGAGACGTTTCGTGACCTGAGATGACCCCATAGACATAAGGAGGGGTCACGGGTACAAATTTCCGATTTAGGTTGTCATTTTTTATGTAACCAGGTGATTGAGGGTGCCTATGATGACGTTTGCCTAAAAGAGGCACCTTTCGATTTTCTCCCATTTATAAAACCTAATGGAGAGGGCGCAAAAATTGACTTGACCTTATGTCACCACCGGTATGCAAATTTCGAGATAATCATTTTATACATACTGTTACTCTTATCAATCGCTAAAAGTTTCAAGCCGATCGTTCAGTCGGTGTTGCTATGGAGAGCATTCTAACCTTTTCTGAGGTGAGGTCACTTGACGTGGTCTGGTGACCTGACCTTGAGCGACCTGGGTGTAAAATTTTCATATCTGTAGATAAGATTCATCCCTCTTTTTTATATCCACGCAAAACCGCAAGGAGGAGGTGTTCAAACAGCCCCCCCCCCCGGCCGGGCGCGGGTTAACGAACTTCAACGGAAGTGAACTGCAAAAACGAACTTCAACGGAAGCTAATTGCAAACATGTTATCAAGGTCGAGAAACGCAAGACAATGCATTTTCATTTACAATGCCAAATTATATCGTAAATTTGCTGTTTTTTCGACATTCTCGAATTTTTACACGCCAGGATAGGCAGTCGCTGTGGGGCCCCTTTTGGCTGACCTCCGGGCCCTTCTCGGCTGTCGCCCCCCCCCCCCTGAGCGAAATCCTGGATACGTGCCTGGCCCTAAACCGTCTATTGGAATCATTTTGGACGTCATTGTTCATATTATATTTTCGAAGAGACGCAGACGCTCCCCTTTTTATTCGATAAAGACGGACATTCTGAAGGAAGTGTTTTCTATCGCACGCCCGCTTTACGCGCAAACTTGCCTTTCCCTATATATAGTTATTCCTAAATCATATTGAAATGAAATAGTAGGCTTTAATGTTCACGAATGAATAAACGATACTGAGCTAAGATTTGTGAATTAAGATCGCTTTTGAATGTCACTGAACAGTGAACATATAAATTATCCTGCATATTATGGCATATTATCCCAACGAACATTAAACAATTAGCATCAATGCTCCGAAAAAAATTGGAGTTTTTGAGCCATCGAATCCCCGAACCAATGCATATGTTACTACTGCCTCACGCGTGACTCCGACTCAGCCATCTTTTGACTTTTTTTTTATCTCATTCTGACTGTCGCTAATTTCTGTGCATCATATGTAGATATGATTTTACGATCCACGTCCGATTTTGTGCCGCGGTATGACCGGCGTCCGACTGTTGTTTCGCAGACGGTGAGCGGCGGCTGCGACTGCTGCTCAGTTTCGCCGTCGGAGGTCTGCTCGGCGATGTGTTCCTACACTTGTTACCGGAGGCCATGGAGCATGCCGAAAGTAAGTCGTAGCTCAATAAGTCATAACTCAGGCCTCAGCCGCTGGGATAGGTATACAGTACACTCGTTACCGGAGGCCATGGAGCATGCCGAAAGTAAGTTGTAGCTCAATAAGTCATGACTCAGGCCTCAGCCGCTGGGATAGGTACAGTACACTCGTTACCGGAGGCCATGGAGCATGCCGAAAGTAAGTCGTAGCTCAATAAGTCGTGGCTCAGGCCTCAGCCGCTGGGATAGGTACAGTACACTCGTTACCGGAGGCCATGGAGCATGCCGAAAGTAAGTCGTAGCTCAATAAGTCGTGGCTCAGGCCTCAGCCGCTGGGATAGGTACAGTACACTCGTTACCGGAGGCCATGGAGCATGCCGAAAGTAAGTCGTAGCTCAATAAGTCGTGGCTCAGGCCTCAGCCGCTGGGATAGGTACAGTACACTCGTTACCGGAGGCCATGGAGCATGCCGAAAGTAAGTCGTAGCTCAATAAGTCGTGGCTCAGGCCTCAGCCGCTGGGATAGGTACAGTACACTCGTTACCGGAGGCCATGGAGCATGCCGAAAGTAAGTCGTAGCTCAATAAGTCATGACCCAGGCCTCAGCCGCTGGGATAAGTACACTCGTTACCGGAGGCCATGGAGCCCGAGCACGCCGAATGTACGTCATGGGTCAGCCTCTGGGATGCACAGGCTGCTTTTGTATTCCGACAACATGGTGACTACTGCCCATCGTTATATGCCTTTATGTATAAGTACTTTTTCTTCGAAAATATTTATTCTTATGGTGACTTCTTCATCTATTTATGAACTTCATCTATGTATTTATTATGTAAGTACCTAGTTAGTTATAACGGTTCGGGTAACTGCTCCTACATATATGATAAACGGCCATTGGCCAGTGAACATAACGGTAAAGATTTTTGTTTCGATTTTTGTCAGTAAGCTCCAGCATGCAAGCGGGACCGGTATTGCTCTAGGATGACCTTCGACTCTCGTCCGGGCACTTCAGGTCCCTTTTTAGTGTTATCTTGTAAAAATCGCGCTGTTACGACCCCTGGCCTTTGAATCGGTTAACGAACTTAGGCACTCACTCAAAGCCTGAAGACGTGTGAGCTGCCTGCCTGTTGCCGGTCGAGTCGTCTGTCTTTGAAATCACGACCTAAATGTCAAAGGGTCATTTATATCCTAACTGGATATAAATGTGTTTATTACTGACGATGTTTTCTTATAGTTTCCCCGTCATTCATGACCATCAGTAAAAAAGATCAGCACTTAACATTTACTCCGTTAGAACGGTTGGTTATAAAAAAAATGGGGCGTTCAAACTTCAATAAGAACGCGATTTTAAAGTAAGTACAGACCAGACAGAACCTATGACGTTGCGCGGTGACGTAATGATGTGGGTGACATTGCTGGATAACACAGGATACTGCACTGAAAACAAAATGACACAAAAAACGACTAAAAACGCACAGGCAGAGCGTGTTAACTAGGCTTTCTTGTGTACCCTGCATCATGCATTTTTTGACCCGTCGCAGACGTGTCAATTTACAAATGTGTTAACCCAGTCGTGTTGTGTCCTAAAACACAATATCATTGTGTCTTCAACACATAAGGCTTGTGTGAATACATTTGCAGAATACAAGGTAAATGTGTTACTATATTTAACACAAATCGCAAGTGAAAGAAGGAAACACGTGGTGATTATGTAGTTTGTTGCCGGGGCGCAGTTGAAGGGACTTTGGCTTTAGCCGGACAGGCTGACTGCCAAAGCCGGGCCCCGAGTGGAATCGGGCGCTCGGGTGCAGTCAGAGCTGAGTACCCGGCCGGCCGACCCATAGGTCAGAGTGCGGTCAGGGCTGAGCACGCGGGCGGCCGACCCATACGAGGCCGCCGACCCATACACGATCTGACGTTGCGCCCGGTCGGTCGCTCCAGGGCCGAGGGGTGAACACGTCACATGGACGGCTCAATTAGTGCACCAAATGACGATGCCCCAATTTGGAGGATTACTGTACAATACAGTTATCCAGAAAGCCGGGATAAACTTCCACCCTTTTTTTTTGTTTTGTTGGGTTAGGCCCTTTCGGTCGACAAGACCATTGCAGAGCCGGAAGGATGATAGGAATTACACTGAGAAAAAAATTTACCACCCTATGGAAACTAACCCTTTTATTCAGGATAAGACTCATGTCATGCTCAGGTAAACTAACGTATTTACCAACGATGCCTTAGTTCGTTCGTAGCTCCTGCGATGGTGTGAGGCAGGGGGGAGACATTGGTCTGGGCAGGCACCCTAGTGAGTCGCCGGGGCTGAGCCCGTCCAGAGGACAGGCCACCCAGCCCCAAGGCACTCACTGCACCCGGCTACGGGGTGCGCTCCCTCAGGAGCAGCGGTGCCGCTCCAAGGGAGCAGCCCGCATGAGATAAAGTTGCCTGCCCAGCCCGGAAGGGGGTTGTGGCGTGGAGGAGAAGGATTTCAGTATCCTGAGGATAGAAGCACGGACAGGTGAACTTCCAGCCTTTTCATTCATTTATTTGAATTTGGGGCATTTCGGCCGAAGAGACCATTTCATGCCCATGTGTAACTATCAATATACTAATTTACATCATGGAGTGTTCGTCTATTTGCCAAGCTAAAGTTTGTCCAGTATTCTAATTTCACGAAGATAAGAGAAGAGGAGTTCGATCAAAGTTTCTTCTGAATCACCAAGGACGGAACCCAGTGTGAAACGCATATTCTTCCGGGTGCAATGTTCAATCATCTGTCTTCTTTCATTTTCAAATTTTCTACAATCGATGATGATATGTGTAACTGTTTGTGCACAATTGCATATTGTACACCAAGGACGAGCATCTTTAGTGTAAATATAGCTATGTGTGTATCTTGTATGGCCCAATCTCATTCTAGCTAGTACCTTTTCTTCATATCTGTTGTTCCGTTTAGCTGTGTGCCATATTTCGATTTTTGGTTTTATTTGCTTGAGTTGTGTGTACTGTGTTATTTGTGTCCACTGTTCTTGCCATGCCTTGAACACTGCCTGTCTAATAGCTGCTTGTGTTGATTGATAATCGATGGGAATGTGTGCGATAGTTGGAAGAGTCAAGGCTTTCTTTGCGTATTCATCTGCTTTTGTGTTTCCATGGATGCCACTATGACCTGGAATCCAAAGGAACTTAATGCATTTTCCGTTACTTGACAAAGTGTGCAGTTTGTTATATATGAGTATGAGAATATGAGATGACGGAATGTTCACTTTCAGGGACTGAGCTACAGATTTCGAATCTGTGCAAATCATTGTCCTCATCCAAGGTCTTTCGCAAACTAAATCAATTGCTTTTAAAACTGCATGAAGTTCCGCTATGAAAGTGGTTGTGCCATCAGGAAGACGAGTTTGTACGGAAAAGTTGTCTACAGGGTCATAGACAGCACTAGATACACGGTGATCAGATTTTGAGCCATCGGTGAAGAGGAAACGAAAAGTTGAGTGTTCGCGTCGCAGCTGAAGAAACTTTTGTTGTACCTCATTTTCTGTAACGGTGGCCTTTGGACAATCGAGGAGAAATGAGACCTTCCAAGACCTATCTACCCATGGAGGGGTGGAAAGCAACGGTAGTGGAAGAATGTTTGGCCGAATGAAGTTTATTTCAGAGCAGAACTTCTTTATTCTAGATGCTATTGTGAGGCCAGATCTGCGTTCCGCTGGACCAAGATAATTGTGGTGTATTGACGGTAAGGTTGTTAGTGTTTTAAAAGCATTGTGATTTGGGTGTGACATGATTTTACAAGAATATCTCAATGTTTGCTCAATACGTCTGAAGCGCAATGGTGATATTACTGATTCAACTTGTAACGATGGAATAGGCGACGTTTTCATTGCGCCAATTGCGACTCGAATAAATGAGTTTTGTATTACATCAAGTTTGTTCAGTGCGCTGTCACATCCTCCTGAATATACCGCACAACCGTATTCTATTATAGGTAATATTAAAGACTTGTATAATTGAAGAAGTGTGTGGTGATCGGCACCGAAATCGGCGCCAGCTACGCATCGGAATAAATTCATTCTTCTATTGCATTTTGTTTTTACGTATGCAATGTGTTTAGTCATGGACAGTCTATTGTCCAGAACTATTCCGAGATACTTGAATGAATTCAACCGAGGTATTACATGTCCTGATAAGCGCAAGGTAGACTCTTCTAACATTCTGTTGTTTTTTGTGAAGACCATCACAGCGGATTTAGTAGGAGAAAAAATGCAGCCGTTCTTCGAAGACCAGTCATCTAGACTATTTAATGCATTTTGCAGACGTGGAATCGAGTGTATTGGATCCCTATCCGTGCACCATATCGCACAATCATCTGCAAACAAAGAGTATTGTATACCTGGAGAAATCTGGTCGAAAATATCATTGATCATAATGTTGAAAAGTATGGGAGATAAGCAGCTGCCTTGTGGTAAGCCATTTTCGAACAAAAAAGTGTTGGACAAAATTGAACGAAAGCGTACTTGAAAACTACGACCACCAGTGAGGAAACCGACCAAATAGTGTGCCAGATGTCCACGTATGCCAATCTTGTGGAGTTTGCAAAGTAAAGTCGGCCGGTGTACCATGTCGTAAGCCCGGGTAATATCAAGGAAGACGGCAGTGGTATGTTTTTTTTTTTAATTTGAATCCCTTTCGTATATCTGTTTCTAAGCGAATAATGTGATCTAAGGTACTGTGATATCTTCTGAATCCACTTTGATATTTCGAGAGTAGTTCATTCTTTTCAAGAAACCATTCCAAGCGTTTTTTAATCATCCGTTCAAATATCTTGCCAAAGCAGCTGGTGAGAGAAATGGGACGATAGTTGGTCGGGTCTTGGCGGTTTTTTCCTGGTTTGGGCAAAGCGATGATTATAGCCTCCTTCCATGCTTCAGGAAAAACTTGTTTCACCCATAAATCATTGAATGTGCATAAAATAAACTGGAGAGTACCGCTTGGAAGGTGTCGGAAGAACTGATGA